CAATATATGACAAAGAATATTGGATAATAAATCACGAATTTTGTGAAGCAGAAGTCCACAAATTCCAATAAATCAAGTACTGTGAGCGGAATAAAGTATGTGAGTAGGTTGTAAGTAGAATCATGTAACGTATTAATTTCGATCTAAAACTCAATCATACCAGTACAATTTAGATATTGGGCATCTTCAAGTCGAGCAGTGCTTAAGCAACATAGTTGTTTGTCGCATCAGCATCAGTTGTATTGTGTTCGCAAGTTGCACACTCGTCTCGACCTACGTTCTATCTGTGTCAAAATGGTGGCACGCACGATATTCTGCCCATGTTTTTGCACTCCAAAACTCTTTCGCTCTCCGTCACTATCTCTATCTCTATCTTTCTCTCTCTCTCTGACTGTTTCTTCCTCCCTCTTTGTCGCTTTGTTAACTGTCTCTTGTGTCGTCTTTGGTGTTGCTGTGTGCACATATTGACATCATTTTGACAAACAACGCCCTCACATGCTACCCCATCCTCTGCACCACCCCTACGTGGTTTCATTTCGTTGTGACATGTGCAGAAACACGCACTTCATGGACCTTTTGGCATTTCCGTTTCCTCTCTAGGGCTTGGCATATTTTTTTTTTGCGTATCTTGTCTTGTTTGTCTTTCAATAACTGCGTGTTTTGCTGAACGTTATGTGTGTGCGAGGTGTGCTTGGAAAGTCACAAAGTGTCATTAAGTCAAGTAGAGAAAGTTGCCCAGAATACAGAAACATATTAATGCAATGTTTCGAGCAATAAATGAAATCATTTAAATTCCTCAAAGTAATTCAACATTTTTCGCACTCATCTTTGCTTATTTTTTAATTCACCCTCGTCGTTTCAATGTCGCCTGCTTGAGTTATGTGTAAAAGATGTCGTTTTGGTAGTAAATATGTGAGTTATTTTTGTCTGTTTGTTGAGTAACATTTAATCAAATGATTATAAAGGCAGACACTTCCTTATACGAGTGACATTTTAAGACACGCGTCCTTAGTCCTTTATATATTGATGAGCACAAATGAGGGTTTGGGTATGTATGTGTGTGTAAGCTTCAATACTATATTTAATTCATTGCTTGTATAAATGTTGAAAGGGCATCCTCTTTGGCATTTCCAGTTTGTCCGTTAGCTTTCATTGCTCTCGTAATTTAATTGAACTAAAAACTTTAGCCGGCGCCGGCATAAAAGGGCGCATTGCTTTCCGGTTGGACTTTGCACTCACAAAAAAAAAGCAGCATATAAATATATATCATTTGTACTTAGAGGAAGACACAGAACGAAATTCTTAAGTCTTTTTCAACAATGGTTGTGAAACACGTGAAACTTTTGAAGTACATGTAAGTATCATGAAATAAAATCATATTAGACTTAGGCAGGAATGTAATTTATTAAATGAATATCTCGATCTAATTCAAAGGCGTATTGGGAACTTGAATCAACAATTTGTGAACTTAAAGGAAAGATGTTAGAATCTGATTTTATACTTTGAATTGATATTAAAAAAGAAGACACCAATGGAATTCAATTCTGTTACTAATATCGTTTCGCTGAGTGTGTTCTTTCATTAATATTAAGTGAAGCGTGTTCTCCAGTAACTCCCACTCCTTCTTCTCGTTTCTCTTAAGGTAAGCTGGAGAAAATGCAAGCTCACGTTGTCCTGGCTCATGTCCACGTCCTTGCCGTGTGGTTTCGGGTTTAATTAATGTTGAAACTGATTACATTTACAACATGACATGCGCAGGATACGCTGTGTGCCAAGTATGCAGTTACAAATGTTTCTCATTTTGGCATTGATTTAGCTACAGCCACGTTTTGCTACCTTATCCTACTACCAGTACTTTCTCCCCCTCTCTCTAAGCCATGTCACTGACATGTGCCTTGGGAAAAACGGAAAGAAAAATGGCAAATTGCTAACAAAATGGGGATAGAGAGAGTGGGCGTAATGGGGGGGATGGAGGGAAGGGGGGTGCGTGCGTAAGTTTTGGGTTCAACTTATTGTCGCTTAATTGCAGCATTTCCGCTCCCAACCAGATTGGTCTTGGTCAAGTGCAAAATACCGCAATTGCAATCGGGTTCAAGTTGACGGTAAGTGGATTGTACGTAAAAGAATACTTACACATATATGTATATAAAAATGTGTTGGTAAGTTTAGTTACGCATCGATGTGGATGAATGAAATAGTTATTTCAAGATCGCAATTTAAAAGGAACGAGATTAGATTAGTTTAAATGAGGTATGCTTTTAATAATATTACTCTTTTTTTTATAAACATAAATCGCCTGGGTGACGTAAGCTTTGAAGGTGATCTTAAGACTCAAATTTGGAAGAGTGTAATTGAATGTTACTTAGATACGAAAATTTTACTTGTTTCTTAAGCTTGTGGTAGCTTGAGTGATCAAGTGGGCAGTGGTACTTGATAGAATTTCGGGTCTTGGTGAATCCGTCAGAGTCTTCTTCTATCAAGTGAACTGATCTGCACAATGTTTCCAGCAAGTTGTTTGCTTTATTTCATAATTTAGAAATGTAGTGTGCCTTTAAAGTATTTAAAAATTAGATTGGCGGGCTACTTTTAATAAATGTTTATAAAAACGCTGACAAGAAGTAATGGCTCTGTAAATTGATTTTCAAACAAAGAAAATTGCAAAACCAATAACCCAAATAATTTAATCAAAATCATATTCTTCTCTCCCTCTCTAAAACTAAAATCCATAGATTTTGGTCTGGATTAGCCAATTTCAATTCAAAGTGTAGCCAAGGCAAAAGTCGAGACAGCCGCAGGTAAAATGTGATTATCGTTAATCTATTTATCCAACATCTTGCTAAATGCAGCAATTATTTATATTTAATAGAATTCGATTGAACAATTTTAGTTAAATTCAGTGTAAGCAATTTGATTGCCGACGGTTTGTGTAATTTATTTTTGGCTGTTTGCCAGGCCAATTGCATTTCAAATATTTAAACAGATTGCAATTATAAGCGCATGAGCTGTAAAAATGTTGCTAAATTCTTTAAAGTTAGCCGACAAGCTGGCGAATATTAACTATTTAAATAACTTAGCCAGATTTTAAACAAATTGTATTTACATTGCAATTTATTTATTTATGGAGCTTAACTTTCGCAGTTGGCCTTTTGCTAATTGCAATTGTAAATTGAGTAAGCTAAATGCCATTTCCATTAGCTGCAGTAATTTGGAAAGTGGAAAATTTGGACTGCTACACGAGTTTCTCATTAATATGTCAAGTGGTAAATATCGATTGTTCCGCCTACTTCACAGTTGACCCACTTACCGAGATTAAAATAAAAAGTACATCGATGAGGCAATTTTCCCAACGATGCTCTAATCAAGACGAAAACACTTTTCGTGATGGATGATGCTAATGTCAGAGTATCACCCGCATCAGGTGGTGTTAAAGTCGCTCTCTGTGTGTGTTTATGTGATAATGAAAATTAACAATACCCAGATGAGCAACACAGCGCTAAAGAGCAACACACGCCACAGGCGGCAATCATAATCAACTCCAACAACAACCACTGCAAAATTAGCTCGACTGAGTGTTACCCTAGACGTATTTTAACAGCACATGCTAATGCTAATTGCTGTTTATTTAACAATTCAACATTGTGTGTGTGTGTTTTTAATTTTGGAAGGACACGTCGACTGGCAGGTACTCTGTTTACTCTGTGTAATGTAGCAGAATATTTGAAAATGTATTATACATTTTATTATTGAATTGTGGAATTTCATTTAAATTTTGTTTAAGTCGGTCATTTTCATTAATAAAAAAATCATAGAAAATCATGTAATATTTAAGCTGTATAATAATAAAATACAAAATTGCATCATAAATATTCCTATATCCATTGCCTTACAATTTCATCATTAAACAAATTAATATAAAAACAGCATAAATGTATTTTAATATTTTTCTATAATATAAAAACAATATTAATGTGTTTTTTATATTTTTCTCACTGGTTCAATAATAATCTTATAAATTTAAGGCATTACAATACGCCCATTTTATATGAATAATATAATATAATATATAAAATATAATAAAAATGCTGTGTGTTTATCGCACTTAAAATAAAGAGTTTATAAACAGTCATGTCCGGTTTTAATATTCTCCACACAAATGTGTGTTCAAAGTGTACCACAAATTAGCTTAGTCAAGCTGAATTTAGGTTAGCTGGTTGGTTGTTTCACTCAATTCAGCTGCCTCGGTAAAGGATATGCACAAGAGCAAGGTAGCACAAGGAAAACAATCGTCAACCAAAATCCCTTTTGTCAGCTTTTCCCTTTGATATTTTGATGTTGTTTGTTATTGTTGTTGTAGTTGTAGTTGTAGTTGCCTGTCGGCTGCTGATGATGTTTTCAATTCCGAAGAAAAGTTTATTTTTGACAAGCATAAATTGAATCAGAGCAAATGGCAACCGGAACGGAGAAAAGTGCGAGATAGAAAGAGAGAAAGAGGCGGGATTGAAGTCTTTGACATTGATTGGATTAAGCCAAGAGGAGCTCGGTTAGCTGAGTGACTGCCTGACTTATAATGCCGTTAAGAAGAGCTTTCCAATCAATGGCAGCCACTTGCGCTAATTGCCAAGCGGGATGCAAATGAAGTGACAAGTGAACTGAAAGACAAGAGTCGCAAAAGCAAAAGCCGTACACATATATATCTATATATATATAGATAGATGAATATGAATATATATGCATATATGCATATGCATGAGCTCTTTCATGCATCTAGGAAAAAAAGTGGCAAAGGTAAATTGAGTACTTGCATCATGTTAGTTTATAGAAGCTTAATTTGTGTTTTGGTATTCTGGTTTAGTTTTTCTCTCTGTGTAACGCCCATGCTGCAAATGAAATGAAAACATGATAATAATATAACAGCAGTTGAACCAACTCCAAAGCGATAAGCCAAATGAAATGAGAGTTCAGAGCTCAGTTGAAGAAGCAGTTGAGATGCAGCTGCCACAATGAAGTGTCGCCTCCTCCAGCTGCTATTGCTGTTATCTGGTATATTAGTTGCTGTCTCCAGTCGCAACTTAGATCCGGAGTTGGAGTCGGAGTTCAATGCAAACTATATCGAGCAAGTGCTGCGCAATATGAATCCAAGCATTGATCCTTGTGAGGATTTCTATGCCTTTGCTTGCGGCAATTGGAGTGCAAATTATAAGGATACCCAAAACTATTTGGATATGCCTGGCTATTTGGATTACAAATACAATGCACAGCTGTTGACGGTGCTGGAGAAGCAACATCTTCAAGGTGGCATTTATGAACAGCTTTTGGCTTATTATGTGTCGTGTCGAGATTTGAAACAGCCGGCTTTGAATGAACTGTTGCATCGATTGGAGCTCGAGCTGCAGCTGGAGTGGCCCATCTTTCGGGGGAATCAAAGTGAAATGTGGCGCAATGAAACTCAATTCGATTGGCTGTCAATGTTGGCCAAGTTGCGTGCTTATGGCCTGAACGGGATATTTATCAAACAGGATGTGAATGTGCGACGCGAGAATGGTACGCATTATGTGATTCTATTGGCGCCACAACCATCAGAGGCACCTCCACTAACTGAACAGGAGATACATCATTTGTATGTGGCTTTTGGACTCGATATGCAGCTGGCCAAAAAGCTGACAGCGAAATTAATGCAACTGGAGTGGAGATTGAAAAATGTGAAAAGAGATGCAGCAGTCAGTGAAATGTATGAATTGAATTTGTTGCAGCTGCAACAGCAACTGCCACAAATCGATTGGCGCCATTATCTTAAAATGGTGCTGGGAGCGCCTCCACCAGCAACGCAGCTGCTGCAAGTCTCCTCACTGAGCAGCAGATATTTGGAGCAATTGCAAACAATACTCGCCGAGAGCTCAAATGAGACAATCTGTTATTATATTATGTTCAAGTTGCTCTACGGCCTGAGTGAGGAGCTGCCTGTGGGCGGAAATCGTAAAATGTCCTGTGTGCTGCAGCTGCGAGGACATATGCCGCTGGCCATGAACTACCTGTACGAACAGCACTATTATAAGGTACACAGACAGCGAACTGATGCAGCCCTACAGCGTTTGCAGCGCGGATTGAGTGGTGAATTTGAGCGTTTAGTTCTGGAGAATAATCTACAATTGAATGGCGAGGAGCAATCCCTTGTGCTGGAGGAGCTACACACTTTGCGCCTCAAGATATGCAATATGCCACGTGACTTACAAATGAAAGAGCTCACGGCTTACTACAGAGATGTGCAGCTGCAGCCAAATGATTTCTATGGCAACAAACTGCAACTGCTGCGTTTCTATCAGCGACGCGAACAGCAGCAGCTTAAAAATCAAGCCGGCTCCTTTGCAGCACATGATTACTATCAACAGGAGCCGCTTCTTGCACGCAGCTCGTCACCGGTGAAAATCTTTCAGAATGCCGTGGTGTTGCCACACGCCTATTTGCAGCTGCCACTGTATGACGCACGTCTCTCCGTAATGCTGCAACATGCCCAGCTGGGCTTCATATTGGCTCATGAGTTGCAACATGCTTTCGACCTTTTTCACATTGTCTACGATGCACGGGGCAATTACAACCAGACGGGCGTGCATCTTCTCGAGCATTTCGGCAACTTTACCAGCTGCTACACGAGAGGCAATTCGGAGCAATTGCTGTTATCCGAGAGCATGTCGGATATTGTGGGTCTGCGCCTGGCCTATGACTCTTACTTTAATCATCGGCAGCGGGTAGAGCAGCAGCAATCAGTTGAAGATTACACGGAAGAGCAGCTCTTCTTTATCAACTCGGTGCAGTTTCTGTGCGCCAACATGGAGAGGATTATGATTGTAAACACCACTAGGGATGTGGAACATGGCCTGCACAATGAACGCGTCAATCGTAATTGGCCCCATCACGACCAGTTTGCCAAGACCTTCAATTGCACGCCGGGTCAGGCTATGTTTCAGCCGAAACCGTGTCGCCTCTGGTAGACCAGACGGGCATAGTCGAAAATTGCGTGCGGCTAATAAGCCCAAATATCGATTAACAATCAGCGTCTTTTTACGACCATTGTTAGCCCTGGTAGACATTAAGTTGATGTGAATTGTTTGTAGCAGGCATATTTATTCTATCAATAGCTTGCTTATTTGAAAATTTATAAATATTTAATTCAGAATATACAATGGGCATATATAACAATAAATATACTCCAGAACTCTTATCGCACATTTCTACTATGTTTTGAATTGAATTGATTAGCATTATCGATAGTTTGAAGTTCGATTGTTGGCATCGATAGGGTTCTATCGATTGGAAATTCAAGGAGGGTTTATATAATAACAGTTTCTTTTTCAAAATTGACATTTAAAGAGCACCTCCTTCATATTTTTCATTTCCTCATTTAAGTTTTAATATTACGTGATCACTAATTAACTACACTGCAATTTAAGTTTAGGCATAGAGTATCGCTGTGTCTATCACCACTCTCGCACTTGCTCAATATTTACTCGTGGGTGAATAAGCTGTTTGTTCCAGTTAACTCGATTATCTGGAACAAGAGACCACAGTGAAAACAATCGTCAACCGAAAATCTTTTTTGTCAGTTTTTTCCTTTGCAATTTTGCTGTTGTTTGTTGTTGCCTGTCGGCTGCTGCTGAAGTTTTCAATTTACAAAGAAAGTTAATTTGTGTCAAGCTCAAATTCAAATCAGTGGAAATGGCAACTGGAATGAAGAAAGAAGATGCTCTTTTATCGTGAGGAAAGGAAATACTGAAGAGCTATTCCTTCTACCAACTTAAATGAAACGTGAAAAGCATCATTTGTATTAAAAGTTTTCAGCACTGGAATTTCGTAGACGGTAGCGTTATGTCGAGCACAAGTGGGATTACTTGCACCGTGTTTCCAGTGGGATGGCAAACAAAACAAGCCCACGGTTCGACCTTGAGCAGGCATAAGGCAACAGCAACAGCAACAGCAACAATGACAACAATGAAACAACACCACGCAACGATAACAACAATGTGCATAAATTACAGCACGGCCTTCATTATAATGTAAATGCGACCACGCCCATTACTTTATACTTCTGTTCATTCGTTCATTCGTTCATTCATCCATCCATCCATCCAATCATCCAAGCCATCCATCCATCCGGCCATTCATGATGTCAACTTTCGCTTTGTGTGCAAATCATTTGCAACAAAAGGGGAAAAGAGGGGAAAATTACTCTCATATATATATAATATATTGCATATTCGCATTGTATTTCATTTAATTTATGGCGCATATATTTTGATGGCAATTTATGTGGCCCACGCACGTGTTGCATTTGGATGCAAAGGCGACACTAGGAATTGTGGGCACGCGCCCCAAAAGTGTTGCAAATTTAAATTGTGTCAGTGGTGGCTCGGACGTTGTCAGGAATGCGCCTTGGGGCATGGATAGTCTTGTCCGACACTTGATACAAAAGTCAACAGAGAGACAAATAGCGGTCACCACACAGTGGGGCAATGTGGTCAATTTTCGATCAAACATATTTCGTACTTGAACCAGAACCTCTGCAGAAACATGCTATAATGCAGCCCACTCAGATTTAAAGCTCAACTAGAAAAATATATAACTATATATTATTTTGTATTTTTGTAGTTTTCAACGCTATCTGAAATCGATATGTATCGATATCTTGTCCACAACAAAAACCATCTAATCAACACATTAAAATTAAAGAATCTTTAGCAATGGAAATGGGATATTCTTCTCTATAGATTTCCGGGTCGATTTACGGCTGATGACAAAGTCAATTAGAGTACACATATTTGTTGTGGCATATATTTACAACCAGACAACTGCAAACCAATTATAAAAGTACATTTCATTTGCGAGTTTCTATCTTGTTTTTGTAATAAAATTTTTATATATATATATATATTTTTTTGTGCAGTTAACTTCAACGGTTTATGACCACTGTTTGGCTGTTGTAGGGTTTCGCAACCCATAAAGAAATTCTCGTTCATATATTTCAAAACAAACGACAGCCGCGGGAGCCATGGAAATGCCGCACATTTGGTGGCCATCTCACCAATTGGTCACTTGATACACATTCAACGAACCGGTCCACTTGTAAATGTATCTTTTTTTTTCTTTCAAATTGTATTTTTTTTATTTTTGCTCTTTGTTCCGGTCTGCGTGGTGCGCTTTAGCAAGGCGGGGGACGGGAGAATGTTTATGCATGGCTTTTGCTAATTACTGCGAGTGTACAACAAATTAAAATGCAATTTAAGCAGCCAGAGTGGCAGCTGCTGTCTGCTTGCCTCGTTTGCAATTTTGTTGCATTCATGTGCAGTTAGTTGGCCAACAATTGAGCCTACACACGAGAGCTTAGCCAAAGCCAAATCCAGAGTTCTGTTAACGAAGTTTTTTTTTGCCTTTCAGTCAAATGTGGGTTAAATGCTTTTTGCGGCGCCGCAATTTGAAGTTGCCTCTGTGTGTGTTTATGTTTGTATTTTTATCTTTTTCTTTGTGCGCCAAATGCAGATTTTCAATTTGGCCAAGTGATGCAAAAAACCTATTTCATTTAAATAAATTCAATTGTAGCATTTATAACAAAAACACTCAGCACAAAAAAATATATATCTGTATAATGAAGTCAATTAGCTCGACAATTTTCCGGCTATACTAAATCCAATTTGAGTACAATTTGTTAGATTGTTTTTTCTTTGTTTATGTGGGTGTGTTTTGCAGAGAATTCGTAATGAATTACAACATTATTACACAGTTGGGAGTTATAATTTAAAGGCAAGCGGTTGGCTTTTGAGGAGTAATTAACAAAAAGTAATTATGATAATACTTCTTTTCGAATGGAAGTGTATTAAACGGGAATTAAGCAGCTGATGAGTTAGGCAGAGTTGAAGCTGGAAAAGTGCGTAATAAGTATCTTAAAATAACAGGGTGTCAAATTATCGGAATTTGATTACTTAGGGAACTGATACGGTTAGGATACAAAACAACAGTGTTAAAAACCAAGTGAGAATATCCGTTATGCTGTACGCTTCCGATATATTAGTTAATAATAATATCAGTTGCGGTAACTGGTTCTTAAAAATGTAGACTTTTCAACCCAATTCCGTTGTCGGTTCTGAAGTTGAATCGGTTAATTGCGGTTAACGGTTCCTGGTTGGTCCCGTGGAAAATACATAGCGATGGAGGCCAAGGCATTATCAAGTTGGATTAGATCAGCTTACATCACTCCTAGGTATAATATAAGTGTCCATTTTGTAAGTCTACATTACTCGATATTTTGAATTTTTAAGAAAAGTAAAGAAACTCATTTCTTCCAGTTCCCTTTTATATACCTAATTTGTCATAAATATATTACCGTTTTATATATCGACTCAAATATATTTATCAATAATCAGTATTTGATCTTCCTCTATATCATCATATGAATTCTCCACCCCACTCATGTACTAAGTGCTAAGCCTGAAGTCTCTACTACTAACAACAAATCAATTTATCAAATAACATAATAAATGAAATTGACTAGCAATGTTTTGTCATTATCAAACTATGTTTACTACTATTAGCGGTCTACTGATAGCCAATGAACTCATTGCAACTGAGCCTTATCAACACCAATAGTCATTATCATTATTCGCTCTATTCGTGTGTCTTTGTGTGAGTTGCTTTTAATATAGAAATTACGCATATGCCTCGTTGCAATATTTGATTCATTAAATATGCTGCGACGGCTATTTGAGTGAAATCATTGCCACAAATTGTTCCGTCAGTGGTCGGCAAACACCAGCCCGACCAGACCGCAAATGCAATTTGATCTAAAGCAAACAAGTTATTTGCAGACATGCAATGCGACGACGATGACGACGAGAGAATAAACTTGTTTTCCGTTAAATATTACGAGTAATTATAATCAAATTTCCGGCGTTAAATGCAAACTATGTCAACTAAATAAGATTTTACATGCGCTACAAAGTTCGTCCCATATATACACATACATCAATCTACGTATCTTGACAGGCAGACGGTCTCTACACTCTGAGATAAAAACTGTTCTAAATTCAACTTTCTTTCGTTAACTTAGACTAGTTTAAAACGGCGTAAATTTATTGGGCGCGTATTCGCTTTCGAGTTTCAGACTGTGAAGTTATGAACTTCGCACAAAATTATTATTCTACAAACAGTGCAAACTTCAAAATATAAAAAACAATATTGCAAGTGCTCGCCATTTTGAAATACAAAAAACAGATTTTGGAAGCGTTGTTTTTCTTTCAATGTTAAACAAACCAAAAATTAGCATATATACATACTTCAAATAAGTATAAAACATTAAGAGCTAGCAATTTAAGAACCAAAATACTTAAATTATGCTGATTAAATTGAATTTGAAAATTATATCAGCAATGATTTAGACTTTAATCCATTGTTTTGATTTAAAAACGCTACTGTTTTCCAATAATAAAGAATTTTTTGTAACTACATTATAAGAATATTGTACTTAATTTGAATACAAAATTATCTATATTTTGTCTGAGTGCAGATATATATATACATGTACATATATATATACATGTACAAATATCTTAAGTGACAGATGAGAATTAACTGTCTAGAGTCGTATCGAGTCAACGCTCGGCACTCGTCAGCCGGCACTTTGGTCAGTCAATTATTTATGCTGACACTTAGTACGCTTGTGACTGCAAGATAATTGGCAAAACGAACACACACACACACACACACATGCAGAGACTGCAACACACAAGCACACACACACAAATCTATACGCGGCAAACGTGGCGTATGCGTAATGCTGATTTGATGCCCATGTTAATGCGTTGGTAAACAACATTAGCACAACGACCATTCACACACAGACATACACACACACACAGATGCACACGCACGCATAAATTAAGTGTGTGGCATGTTGAGCCAGGTAGTAGACATGACCATAGACACCATAAAAATCATTTAATGCACTCTGTCAATTTTAATGGCCTTCGATTGGCGCTGCAAATTTGCAAATTTGGTTGTCAAACCCCAAAAGCGGTGGTCGCCGCATTTAATTGCCACTTTCTGTGGCAAGTAATGGGGAGTCGG